CGCCATGTGGGTGCTGGGAATCGAACCCGGGTCCTCTGCAAGAGTAGTCAGTGCTCTTAACCACTGAGCCATCTCTCCAGCCCCCCCTTTCATGTCTTTCATTTGCTCATTATACAATTAAATTCCAAAGTCTCTAGTTGGGTCTCTTCCCTTGCATACACGCCCTTGATTTTTTTTCCTCTCATCACTATGCTTTAATGTCAAAATCCAGCAAAGGAAAGCCCCTAAAACTGATTAAATCCAGCTGTACTGGATCTCTGAGAAAAAACATGAAACCTCTTTGAAAGTTATTTTCTTTAAATTCATGACCACTAACTTCAGGTGGGACTGCTGTATTGCTATGAAAACAGCCTGCTTTTCTCCATTCCACTTATTCTCTTCCTCTGCCAGCACCTTGGTCAGAGGCACTGTGCACGCTTGCTCAGCTGAATACAGTGATATCTTAACTGACTTTATCACTTTTGCTTTTTCTCCCTCTGATATTTTCCCTAGCACAAAAGTCAGAAAAAATCCTTTACAAGAAATATATACAAATCTTTAAATTCAAAACAGTCTCTTAAGAAGCATTTTGCTACAAAGAAACCAATGCATTTGGGGTACTAAAATTTTTTATGGTTATACCTTATCTTAAAGTGTTTTAGAGCATTTAAATGCTTATACTTATAAAAGTAATCATAAATGAGATCATCCTTCAGCATCTAAGCTGTGGCATGTTGAAGCTGTTTGAAATTGTTGGATCTGTGTCTGAGGGTATCTCAGTTACCATATATGGCATGTGATTATCTAAATATTAAATAAGGATGGCTTCATCAACTTGAGTTGTGAATATTTCTAAAGCCAAAATTATTGTTATTTAAGTTTCATTCTATTATTCCCACATGTCAATAAATAATATTGGGCAGTCACAGGGGTGTGGAGACTGCTGTTTGTAGAAAAACAGAGGGAAGGGACAAAGGTCCAATATGTGGCCTGTGGATAAAAGTTAAATGTACAGAATAAGGCAAGTCCTGTATAAAAGACCTCAAAGGAAGCTGATATCTTCCTCTTAAGTTAAAAAAGTCTATCATTTGATGATACAACTTTAAAAAATTAAAATAGTACTGTCCCTCATTCCATTCACGTGTTTCTTTTCCACCTTATAGAGCTAGATTCCAGAGAAGCTAATGACCACCCTTCCCTTACATAAATTACTCAACTTGCTTCTCTCTCTCTCTCTCCTATTCTCTAACGTCAAAACCAACTGCAATTCAAATGTAAAGAACTAAATCAGTCATCTGTAGAGGGAAGCAAAAGAGTGGGACAGGAGTGTGTGTTTGCATGTGTGTGCGTGTGTGTGTGTGGTTGTATTTAATTTATGATTTTGGAAAGGTAATTTGCTTCAGGAACCTTAAGTTCTAAATAATTTAGTCAAACAAATAGTGGTACTGACATCATCCTGACCAATTCTTCTTTTCCTTCCACAGTCAACCACTAAAGAGCCCTGCATGGTTAAGTTTGGTGAGTAATCTACCTTACATGACTTCCTTTTCCATTTTTTTTTTTTTTTTATTTTCTGCTACAAGAAGGCAGGTGCCAGTACTCACAGAAAAGCTTATATTTTTGTTCCAGCTTGCTTTCTATTGTTGTGATAAAAATACTCTGACCAAACTAACTTGGGGACGAAAGGAATTATTTGGCTTACACATCCGGATCACAATTTATCATTATGGAAGCTACAGCAGGAACTTGGGGCAGGAGCCTGGAGGCAGGAACTGAAGCACAGACTACAGAAAAATGCTGCTTACTGGCTGACTCCTCTGGCCTGTGCTCAGCCTGCTTTCTTACAACAACCCAGGATCACCTGCCCAGGGTGGCACCACCCACATTGGACAGGGTCCTCTCACATCACTCAGCAATTACAAAAATGCCTCATAGACATGGCCACAGGCCAGTCTAATAGAGAAATTCCCCCGTTGAAGTTTCTTCTTCCCAGGTGTATCAAGCTACCAACTGAAACTATCCTGCGCAAATTCTTTTTGTCCACTTTAAGCTGCTGCTTATAATCACTTATCCTGTATTTGGCAGCTATCTAGTAGGAGTGTAGGCTTTCAGAATTGAACCAAATTGACAAGCCATGTCTGGTGATGCTCTGGGCAGGCATGCACTTTACACTTAAAAGACTTGCAAATCTAGATACAGCCATCAAATATTAGTTCTGTGGTTTATTAAGAGAAATTTCTACAATATTTCCTCAAACTACTTCTCACATTTCACAGACTGTTAATATCTAGTAGAGTGTGTAGGAAACAGTATTGCTATTTGTACGTATGTAGAAAAAGAGTACAGAGTTAGGGGAACAGACACTTCCTCTTCTTTCCCTCCCTCTCTTCTTTAGCTTCTGAGTCACTTTCCCTTGTAATCATGTGACATTTGCTCAGAAACCATATGGAAAAGAGCATTATTGAGTGTTTGCTGCTGCTGTGATAAACTGTCCAAATGAAGAGCAACTTAGGGGAGAAAGGATTCACTTTAGCTTACAATTTCAGGTTCAGTCCATCACTGTGGGGAAGGCACAATGGCAGGAGCTTGAAGTAGCTAGTCACATGACATCCACAGTCAGGAGCAGAGAGAAGCATTCATGTATGTTTGCTTCTGCTCAGCCCAATTTCTCAACTCTTACAGTTCAGGACCTCTTGCCTACACAATGGTGATGCCCACAGTGGGCTAGGTTTTCCTACAGCAATTAATTAAGACCATTCCCCACAGATATGCCCAAAGATCAACCCAATATAGACAATCTCTCATTGAGACTCTCTCATCAGGTGATTTTAGGCTGTGACAAGTTGACAGTTAAAGCTGACCATCACGTTGAGTCTCAGAATATTTCTTAGAAAACATGCAAAACATCAAGTTGATACATGTTTGGTTGTTTGTAAGGGTTTAGGCCAAACAAAGACATTTTCATTTGAGAGTAGAGTATTTCTAGAGTTTAGGATTCACTTTGCAGTCCCTTTCTCCAGTTTTCTATGCTTGCCTGGCTTTCAGGGGTCAAGACATTTGTCTTTGCCTTTGTATCTTCTTCTTTCACCGAAAGGAACAGAATTCATAATACGTGTGAAATTTCCCCTTGATATGGCAAAAAGTGATGCTAAGGTGGTCTTTAAAAACTGCTTCACTGAATTAGGGAGGAACAATACTTATTTCATTTCATTTAAAGGAATGTACCAATGAGAAAAACAAAGAACACTTGTCAAAGGTTCATATTCAAGTGGATGCAGGCAAAGAAATGGGTAACTTAATTTATAATGTTAATATCTTACGCAAAGAAAATTAAACAGGATAAAAGAAAAAGTTACAGGAGAGCAATGTTATATGTATCCATGAAGGAAAGTGTCCCTGGCAAAGTGATACACAGTGAATAGTATTTGCATGGAAAAAGCATGGAAGTGCATGATTACTAACAGTAGGCATCCCAGTCTGGTCTGTGATTCCTTTCTCTCTTCTTCCTCCTTCCTTCCTTCCATACATACTAATTGATAAGAAGGTACAGAGCCATTTAATCATTATTTTCTGTTCCAAATATGTCTCCTTAGAGCTCTCCAAGCAAGAAATATATTCAGATTTTTGCAACTTCTCTGAAAAATGGAGTAGGTGGATACTTAAAATATTAAAAATATGGTCAGAGAAAACTAGTATAGGCCAGGTAAAGAACCTACTTCTATATGGTAAAGAATGAACTGCAATCAGGAAGAGGATGAACTAACTAACATGTTTTTCTTCTACTCTCTTTTGTAAATTTCTTATAGGACCATTACCCTCAAAATGGCAAGTTACATCTCCTGAATCTCCTTGTATGAATATGACATCTGATTGGAAGCTGAAGATACTTCACACTGGTTCATATTTAATTTATGGTGAAGTGGCTTTTAATAAAGCCTATGAGGGACATGCTCCCTTTATAATCCAGCTACGTAAAAATGAGGACAACTTACGAAATGCAACAAGCAGATGGAAAAATATGACAAGTGAACCTCACATCCAGTTTATAGGAGGGACTTATGAATTCCATGCTGGAGATATAATAGACTTGAGATTCAACGATGAAGATCAGATAAAAAAAAATAGTACATACTGGGTGGTTCTTTTAGTACCAGATCTTCAGTTCATTTCCTAGGGATTTTGTTAGTTTCCTCATCTCCTTCAGTGTATCCAGAGATGCTGGTGGGTAGATTGGAGAGGGGAGATTATTTTTCAATGCATACAGTTTGAAATCAACACAAACAGAAGTCCTTGGCATTTGACACTTTATCCTTTATACTTGTCTGAAAAAGACTCAAAGAATGGACCAAAAGCTTTAGTTACCACTGGTGTTGGGTTTGTGAAGACACTTTAGTAATCCATGATAAATCAATGTGAGTAACAAAGGAAAAATACTTCCCCCAAAGAATCTTTTTGTAACCCTTGAATCCCAAGGAGGAAAAATGAGGTCTTATTTTCAAGAGTCTTACTTGACTTGTAAGAAGTGTGTGTGGCAGTGGTCTAGTCTTTTTCTCATTATCGTTTTCTTAAGGTTTTTTTTTTTTTTTTTTTTTTCTTTTAAAAAATATTATATTTAATGTGTATGACTGTATTGCCTGCATGTATGTGAGTGCACCCGTGTCATGCAGTGCCGTGGAGGTCAGAAGAGGTTTTTTCTTCCCTCTATACTCCCACCTTGAGAACCTCCTAATAGGAAGTGGTCAGACTGGTGGGGTGGCTGAGATATGTCAACAGCCTGTTAGATATTTTAGAGGCCAGGGAACTCTATGAAAGCTGTTGGGACAGAGGTGGACATGGCATGAAATGAAATTTATATGGGAATTTTTCTTGCTTCATCTTTCTCAGGATGCAGGATCATTCTAAACCTTTACCTAAGCTTTCATTACACATCATTACACACACACACACACACACACACACACATGTGTATATATATATGCAAATAGTAAATTAAGAATTAGCACTAGCAGTTATTAAATTTAACCCTAGATATTGGTATTGCTATGACTGTATTATGTCATGTAATGATTTCATGTTTTTAACTGGTATCCTCTAATTTGAAAATATATCAATTTTCACATATCACACAGTAGCTCAATGACATTAATGGGGCAGATACTTTTGAAAAAATTTAACAGTGAGAATATGGAAATAGTTAGATCATAGGAATCTTACCTCAAATCAGAGCTAGTAATGAATTAAATAAGTGAGATTTCTACTTTGTCTTTCAATATTGTCTTTGCTTTAGAAATGATATTTCTGTTCTCATTATATACCTATAAACAATAAATTCAGTTTTAAGGAGCTGTATCTCCCTTTAGCCTAAGGGGAAAAGAGTGAGATTACAACAGAGCTTTCCACTACTAGCAAACTTATTTTTCTTGCCTGGAGCAAGAAAAGCCAGAGTACTGTTTGAAGAGCCCATTTTGGTCAAACACACCAACTTCTGAATGTAATAAAGAATATTTTCAAATTTTGGGCTCTGCTGTATTCTCCATCTTGCAAGTTCTTGTTGAAAAGTATGTAATATTACACTAAAACCTTTTAATATTTATGGATATTTGTGAAAAGCTACATTATATTGATATTATTTTATATAAAGCTAATTTAAAATATTTGTATTATGTACAACAAAATTATTTACAGTAGGCTAAACTATTTCTTCTTATTTTATGAATATCTGTTGAATAGTTATAGAATGCAAAGACATGTCTGCATCTGTTCTCAGGAAATTAAAATTGTGTCATGTATTTATAGAAACATGTTGGTGTTGATTTTTATTGTGTTATAAGGGGCATTAGATAGGCTAACAGTACTTCATAAAATTGATGATTTAATTTTTAGGAATTATGTAGTCTAGTTTAATAGAGCCACCATGGTATTGGCTGTGGGGGAATATTTATACTATGGAAACTGGTAAATACTACAAATCAGAGCATTCCATTTGGAAAACTGGCTCAACAGGACACCATTGTTTTTGAAACTTCCTGTGTGTATGTGTGTGTGTGTTTGTGTGTGTGTATCTGTGTGTGTAGTGTATATATGTGCTCATATGGGCATGTGGATGTAGGTGTTGAGGGGAGTATGTTCTTGTGCAGGTAGAGGTTGATATTGGATTTCTTCTTCAATTGTTTTTCACCTTTTTCTTTGAAACAGGGTCTCTCACTGAACTCAGAGCTCATCTGTTTGGCTTGGCTAGCTGGCCAATTAGCTCCAAGGACTTGTCTGTCTTGGTTCTACCCCAATCCCTGCAGCTCTGAGGCTACAAAGCATGCCACCATGTCTGGCTTTTATAAAGGTGCTGGGAATTTGAACTCAGATCCTCATGCTTGTGTAGCAAGTGCCTTACTAATGAAGCCATCCCCCTAGCCCTGTGAAATTCTTCTTAATGATGCCATTCTGTCCCTGCCTCAGTCCTAGGACACTCATTACAGACAAAAATGACAGATTGATTTTGCTACACTCCCAGAAAAAGCCCAACACAGGAAGGCTTACTGTGAGCTGAGTCTTTGATGGGTGAGCCTGTGAAGGGTAGGGTAGTTGAGAAGGGTGGAAGTCAGAAAATGGAACTGTCTGATGCATTGGGAATGGAGGCAGCTGTAGCCAAAACTAATTATACCCAGTTCTCGCTTTTGCAAGTTCTAACACTTGTCAAAAAGTGTTCATATGGACAAGGACTTCTCTGATGTAATTTTGTGTTCTTTAACTCACTAACTTGACTATAACCCAAGGATGAAACAGCTTCAATACAATTACAAATATGAATTTTATTAGTTTTAAAATACAAAGAAGGGGGGAGCTGGAGAGATGGCTCGGCAGTAAAGAGCACTGACTGCTCTTGCTGAGGACCCAGGTTTGATTCCCAGCATCCACATGGCAGCTCCAAATCATCCTTAACTCCAGTTCCAGGGGAATCTGACACCCTCTTCTGACCTCCGCGGCATTGCATGACACGTTTGCACTCACATACATGCAGGCAATACACTCATACACATAAAATAAATAAACAAACAAACAAATAAATAAATAAATAAATTTAAAACAAACAAACAAACAGAAATACAAAGAAGGAACAGAGTATACATTGAAGACAAAGGCTGAAATGAAAACAGGAGAAATTTAAATATCATACTTTGGTAGCCATCCCTCTGTCTGAGGTACAGAAACCTTTATTTGTTCTGACAAATTGCAACTATGTTGGACCTTTGCTAATCAATAGTGTTACAGTTGCTTCTGAAGATGGAATTTAATTGAAAAGTCATGCAATCTGGTACATTTTCAGAGAAAACTTAGATGAAATACATCTGTATATCTTGGGAGTTTAAATGCTTGCCTTTTTGTTCTATCCCAATGAGGCGATTTCACTGGAAGGGGGGTCATTTTAAATTGTTAGATGGGAGAAGCAGAAATATAACTGACAAATCAGCAGTTTGAAAAGTCCCCTCAAGTAGGAGTTTTAAATGATATCTGACACAGACATACTCCTTGATCTGAAGGGGTACAGATATAGTATATTCTAGAATCAGCTTACAACTCCACTACTTGTAACACTCCTGTGAATCCCACCTTTGGTCAGAGTACACATGCTTTACTCTTATGAGCTAGGAGTGTGCAGTCCCACCTCAGTGCAGTGAGAGCCTCCTGTCTCTACTAACCAGCAGTTGGTCTTTCTCTTCCTGACAGATTTCCTGGGTGGGGTCAGATTATAGTCCACAGTTACCTTTAGCTTTCTTTGGTGGGAGACAGGCACCAATTCTTTGTATATCCTAATCTCAAGAAATAAATTTCAAATCTCTCTCTAAGATGGTCCCTTGAAGTTTCTTTAGCAGACAAGTTTAGAAAGCTCCATTGCTCTCCCTTCCTGCAGAAGGAGTAGGCGGTGTCTTACAGGGCAGCCATCGACGTCAATGAATGCTGCTGTCACTCTTCTTCTCTTCAGTTTATCCTATATCCTTGATATGACTGAAGTGTCTAATGGGCAAGGGGTGGGAGATTGTCTTTATAATTTCTGCATGATACAGAGGAAGGAGCTATCTTAATCCCACTTTTGTATTTAAGTGCCAAATCATATTGGGCCAGTTATGGAATCACAAGGAATCCTACTTTAGCATCTACTTTTACTCCTATGTCTGAAAGGCATACACAGGACTCATGACAAAATACAGACATTTTAAAGGCCCCAAACTATCATCACAGAATCAGTTATCAAATGTGTTCTGAACGGAAAGACAAAGAGAGAACAAAACATTGTTCAATAAAGTTAGATGTTGGAGAGGAGGGAGTGGGCATGGATTTGATCAAAACACCTTATATGCATGTATGAAATTCTCAATAAATTATTTATTTAAAAATACTATTACAAACAATCATAAAATATTGCTTTTAATTTCTCGATAGTTAAGGAAAATTAGAGAAGAATGTCTTACCTATGCTTTTTAAAAAGTACACTGCTATATTAGGAGGAATAAATTTTTTTCTAGAGCTGACACTGAGCATATAGCACCACTTCCACACTGAATGTCTTAGGGACATATAGACTCTTCCATTCATCTTACTTGTATTCCTTGGTTTCTGATATCAATTAACAACTTTAAGGAGTTCAAAACCATTTAGTTGAGATCTTACTCCAAGACACAGCAGTACTGAGGGAACCAGAGGGTTTATGTTAGTGTTCCTAAGAAAGTTGGTAGTGTTTGGCAACAGGGAAATGAAATTTCAATAACAAATTGCATTAGATTAAAGCAACTTCTTCATCTCTCTACCAGCACAGTCAGCACGGAAATCTCCAACTTCAAAATTCACAGTCATTATTTCTACCCTGCCCTGTTGCTGCTATCCAGGGATGCTGCAGAGGAACAACACAATCTGCCTGGTCTCAGCAACCAGGTTGACTCAGACCCATCTGTTTTAGAGGAACAGGAGAGTGGTTCCTAGAACTGAAGACACAGATTTACCATCTTTTCTTCTTGCCTTTGGGTTATAATTCTTGGCTGACAGAGTGATCTCTGAAAAAAGTCTGATAATCTAGAGTCCAGGGTCTACTTAGTGCTTGTGAGAGTCCTTATTGTCTGTTGAATGAAACAATAAATGGCTCACAAATGTTAGTGCTGGTGCTAATATGACCCTATCTTGTGC